ATATGAGTGAAGGCCAGGACACTACAAAGGGGCCATGAGACTGGGGGGGGGGGGTAAAGAGGAGCAGGGCAGGAAGGCAAGAGAGCCAAGTAGAAGGTAATACTTGGTGTGAAAGGTACAACCAGGAAGGGAGGCAGGGAGATGAGAAGCAGGTTGTGGGTAGGAGATAGAAAATCAACCGGCATGAAAGTGGAATGAAAACCCCAAGTAAAAAAACTACTACTTGACAAGCTAATTTAATAACAATAATAATAATAACATTAACAATAAAAATTTAAAGAACCTAAGGTACAAAAGAAAAAAAAAAGGCCGTGGTTGAATACTGATGAGCTGGAGACCCCTTCCAAAGGGCATAGCTACACAGGAAGCAGAAGCCGCTGTTGCTGAGGAAATTTGCCACAAGGCACAGGGACAGGTCTTCCTACAGAAGCATCTTGCCAATTGGGAGAGAGTGAACTGGACGGGCTGCACCTGCTCTGTATAAGCAGCCACCCTTGCCAGAGAGTCTGGCTGAACGAAGTCTATGGGTAAGGCCACGGATGAGTGGAAGTCATAACGATGTGAGAGCCACCAATCAACTCACAGTGATAGCTGTCTTCAGATAGAGCTATTTGACAGGCACAGTTCTAAGAGCTTTTCAGATGTTAGCTTACTTCATCTTCCGGACCCAAGAACCAGGCAGAGGATGCAGAGAGAGAGTTCCCGCTGTATAATCGCAAGGCTCTCATGACCACAGTAACAGAGGCCCAGGACCAGAAGGGCAGTATCTTTGGATGCTGTTGCCTTGGAAGGGCCACTCACTCCAAGTCCTCCCAAGCTGCCCCTTCAAATTCATGCTCTCTTTAAAAATATTTTTTAAATATTTCATTTTAAATAATTACATATATTATGTGTATAACTATATGTGAATAAATGGGTATATCTATAAATACAGAATAAATCTAAACATGGCTTACCATTCTGCTAGTGGGCAAAGCCAAACTCTTTCTAGGGCTCAGCCTTACGATTGTAAAGCAAAATGAAAAAGAGCAGGTTTGGGACTAGGAGCCAATAAATTAGGCGCAGTCCCCCCCTTGAGTCACATGTACAATCCTGAACCATTCACACTAAGTAAAGGACGATGTCGATGAGCCAAATCCAGGCCTGGTTCACAAGTTTGTTGGTTGCTGTGGTCAAGCCCAATGCAGGGCAAGCAGCTCCACCTCTACAAAGCCCAGTGGCTTCTCACAAGCCAGGGAAGTTCTCCCACAGGAAAGGAAAGAACGCTAGAGAAACATCAGAAGAGCTGGTTCCCATGGGGGTCGCTAGTCGAAGAAAATTAAAGCTTTCTTTAAGATCAATAGTACTGCATGCACACATTCGGTGCTTACCAAGCTGATCCTTGCCAGCCCCAAATCACTGGCATGTGCATGAACTCAAGAGAAATCGTGAAGTCTAAACAAGAAAGGACCCCTAAAAAGAAGGCTACGGTGAGAACTGGTACCGTGGAAAGCTACAGACAACAGCAACTGAACAACGGGTTCCTGGGGGTGCCGGCCCAGCTGGGACTCTTCTAAACAGCTTGCACACTTTCCTTGCAAACATTCCCATCCAGGTGGGGTCAGGCCGGGGACACCCCCCTGGTGGCCTAGTGGGGACAGTTGAGTCTGCTGCAAAGGGGATGATGTCATAATGAGTGGAAATTCGAACCTTCCTCTAAATGAAGATTGTCATTTCCATTTAAACAGCCCCTCTCTGGCTGTGTGAGCAGACTGGCTCGCTTGGTGAGCTGGCTGGAAAAGACCTTTCCTGGGCTGTTTTCCACTTTACAACCCTCCAATGAAAGGCCTCTCTCAGGGCTGGAGAGATGGCTCAGTGGTTAAGAACAATGGCTGCTGCTCTAGAGGACCTGAGTTCTGTTCCTAGCATCCCTATGACAGTTCACAACTACCTGTAATTTCAACTCAAGGGAACGTTATACCTTTTTTTTCTGGCCTCTCTGGTCATCTTCACACACACACACACACACACACACACACACACACACACACACACACACACACACGTGAAGAGGGGACAAAGAGCAGCTGGCATTGGGGACAGCAGGGTGCCCACACCTAGTCCTAGAAGTGAGAACACCAGCTGAGGAATCCCAGCTTCGTAAGTCTATACAAAAGCTTAAACGCTGATCAGACCACAGGTCCCAACATTCTAGGCCTCTACAAAAACTGAACCACTTGTTACCTAGGACTAGTATTTCTGGGCACTTAGATCCATAAACCAGCTGCTTCCATTTTCCTGAATTCTGGCCAGATGAAGTAACAAAAATAGGCAGAGTAAAGTATACTCATTTGAGGCTTGGCCAAATCAAGAGGAAAAGAAATTCTCATCACTCCCCACCCTCCCCGGTACCTATAGCCATCGCAGTTGAAAGAAAGCCCTGTGAGACAGAGGCGGGTAAAGTCAGATCCGAGACAGGCCAACTAGTCCTTTCCTGGGGCTAGAGGACCCGGATGCCAGGCTGCCTTCATGTCTCTGTTCTCTGTTACAGAGACACCTTATTATTATCATTATTGTTGTTGTTGTTGTTATTCATTCAAGTCCAGTCCAAGGAAATCAGGAAAGACAGTAAGCCTTAAAGAGTCCCCATTTTTAGAAGAGAAAAGAGTCTTGGGAGTTTGTGGGGTAGTGTGTGTAAGAGCCTGACCTGAGCCCGTCCTGGCAGCTTTCTGTGCTCTAGGGTCTATTTCTTTGACAGGTTCAGGAGGAAAGCCTGTTATCTATTTTTTTTTTCTATTTGGGTATTTAGTTAGTTAGTTAGTTAGTTAGTTAACATTGGATCACAGCCTCCCCTCCCTACTTTCTTTCCACTTCCTCCCCCCTCCCCCTGTCCTCCCTCAATCCACCCCTCCTCTGTATTCACTCAAAAAGGGGCAGGCCTCCCATGGGCTTCAGCAAAGCATGCATGGCACATCAAGCTGCCTTAAGACCAAGTACCTCCCCCTGTATTCAGGCTGGGCAAGGCAATCCAGCATGAGGAACAGGTTCCCAAGAGCCAGCACCTGGGACAGCTCCTGCTCCCATTGCCAGGAGTCCAACAGATAGGTGAAGCTACTCAACGGTCACATATATGCAGAGGGCCTCTGTCAGTCCCATGCAGGCTCCCTGGTTGTTAGCTCAGACTCTGTGAGTTCCCATGAGCCAGGATAGCCATTTCTGTAGGGTTTACTGTGATGTCCCTGACACCATTCCCCCCCACCCCCCGCCACCACCTCCTGGGCTATGCATTCACTCCTGTCAGGAGTCTTAGCTGGGGCCATCCTTGTAGAGTCATGGGAGTTTCCCTTACATCAGGCTTCTAGTCAATCCCATGAAGCCCCCCTTTCCAGTCATCTCTCTCAGCATTCTCCCCCTCCACCCATCCCCAACCCAATACTTAAAGTTTCCATGCCCTGCCCCCCCCCCAGTCCACCCAGGAAATCTCCTGTATTTCCCCTTCCTAGGGAAATCCATGCATCCCCCTTTGGGCCCTCCTTGTTACCTAGCCTCTCTGGGTCTGTGGATTGTAGCCTGGTTATCCTTTACTTGGTGTTTCATCTGCATGTATGTCTGTGTACTACATGTGTGACTGGTGCCTGTGAATACTGGAGGGCTTAAGATCTCCTTGGCACTAAGGTTATAAATGTTGCAAGCCAATACATAGGTGCTGGGAATGAAACCCACTGGGAAGATGCCGAGCATTGAATCCATGTCACATGGAAGAGCAGCAGTCAATGCTTGTAACCAGTCCTAAGCACCCATGAATTTTGAAGAGGAAACACTCAGGGCAGTACTCCCCCTGGGCTTTAGGAGGCTTTGGCTCCTCCTCCATCTCTGTGCTCTCTGGCCAGTCTTGTTCCAGACCTCTCACAGGCCACTGTTCCTCAGACCCCTGCTGAGGTGGTTTGAATTAGAATGGCCCCCATAGGCTCATATATTTGAATGCTTGATCCTTAGTTGACAGAACTGTGTGGGAAGGATTAGGAGGTGTGTCCTTATTGGAGAAGGTGTGCCACTGGGGTGGGCTTTGAGGGTTCAAAAGTTCACATTAGACCCAATCTCTCTGTCTCTGTCTATCTATCTCTCTCCCTTACCTGTGGATCAGGATGTAAGCCCTCAGTGCCGTGCCCTACCACTGATGGTCATGAACTCATCCCCTGAAACAGTAAGCTCCCAATTAAATGCCTTCTTTTTGAAGTTCCCTTGGTTATGGTGTCCCTTCACAGCAACAGGGCAGTGACTGACGCTTCATGCAAACACTGGTCCTCTCATGATTTCCCTTCTCTTTTATGCAGTGTTCTAACTTTCATGGTTCAAAGACTTACTTGGTGTCTTTCCTCTATTAGATCATAAGCTCCTTGAGAAGAGGAAATTCATCCTCCTGAGAAACAAATGTAATGAATGCTTCACCCTAGCAGGTGCCTAATATATTTTCATTTGAGTGGAGGCACATATAGAATTAAAGTGGACCCATCTAAATGTCCATCTTAAAAATAACTCAGGCCTAGGAATCTGTGCAAACTCTTGGAAGCGAAGACTTGAGTGCATTGCAGGAGGGCAAAGGGAAGAGAGAGGAGACCTGTTGGAAGTGTTAGGAGTCAACACGCATGCCTTTTTTCTGGGCAGTGAAAGCGAAGTTCTTAATGGAAGATGATCCCAATCAATAGCGCCAGACAGCTGATTTATATAATGGCCTCAAGCTGAAGTAGTGGTCTTTCTCTGCAGAGTGCTGCTGTGGAAGGGGAAAGGGTTGCCGACCCGGAGACTCCACAAGTAGATCGGTGGCCATCTGTCAGTGTTCATCAATACGTTCCCCCCTCCGCGAGCCCGAGGAGAGATCCCAGAGAGCAGCTTGCAGCAGGCCGGATGCTGAAGATGCCAGAGCGGGGTTAATACTGGATTTGGGCTGCTGAGGTGGGGCTGCCACTGAGCAGGCACCCAGTGTCGGGAGCCTGGCCCTTTGCTCCGAGTGAGAAGGTAAAGAGAGTGGGAAGCCGGAGGCTTGCACACCCAAAGGAGACATCTAAGCGGCAGCAAGCAGCGGCAGCAGCGAGGATAGAGTGAGTGAGCTTGAACTCAAACACGAGCCAGGTGGAACCCGAGATGTCATCGCTGGTGAAGGAAGACTTGGAGAAAAAACTGTTCAAGCCGCTGGCGCAGAATCTCTGCGAGTTTATTGAGATCGAGTTCTCGGTCCAGGACAGGTATTACCTCTGTGTGTCAGGTAAAGTAGCGCTGCTTTCTGGTATCATTTCAAAATGCAAAGAGCTCAAAGGTGAATGAATAAGGAGTATAGAGGAATCGTGTCTGTCTTCCAACCCGGCTCAGGAATGCATGGATCTTCTTGAGGGTTTAATTAGCCAGGTTAAGGAATGTATATTTTACAGACTTTTAAAAGCACTAAGGTGAACGTTATATATCTTAGACAGCATTAATGATTCAGAAGAGAAACTGGGTCTGTACTTTTCTTGTTTTGATCGTTTTTTCCCCCTCCAATCTTTTATCTAATTTGCTTCACAGCATACAATTTTGGTGTATGAAGAAGGCTCACTTTTAAAAATCCAATAGCATTCTGAATATGATTAAATGCATCGCAGAACCAAGTTATACAGCCATTCCCAATGTCTTTCTGTCTGGAACAGATACAGAACTAGACTTTTCCTCCTAGGACCTATTGAGACTTTCTGGTGGTTAATTTTGAAGAAAGAAATTCTCTTTAAAAACATTCTCTTACAGAAAATTATTACCAATACTTTAATAGTAGAAATTAGTTCATGAAGATAGAACTTTACAGATGAGGGAACAAGCCCTAATGTAAAGATCTGAAGTATAAAGTATTTAGTAAAATAAGAATTTCCTTCATGTTTTTAAAATAGAAGAAAATTGTCTGTGCACCAGCTTTTGCATTAATTATTATTTTCCAAACCTTTTATGAATTTAAATAGAAATGTTTGTGTCGTTATTGAATTGGGTGTGCAGCTATCCCTTTTCCTGGCCCAAGCCTCTCGGTATCCTTCAGGGGATTAGGAGAAAAAAGGTCAGAAAGTCTAGTGTTGGCTGCAGATGTTCCTTTTGAAAGGCAAACACCCATTTTCATACAGCTCATTATCTCTATCCTCCTGAAAACTGGTTTAGAAGAGCATTATAAACATGCCATGAGGAAGCCAAGCATCTTTGGGGAAAATTCTAAGAATTCTTTAGAAGGTCATAATTTCTAATAAATATGTAAGTATTTATCCAACAATAAGAATAGTAATACTTATCTAATGCCTAAGCTCATTATACTACACATATGAAGTATGGGGATTTGGCATGTCAACAAATGTAAGAGACTTAATCGGCTCATAAAATAAATTATGTAAAAAGGTAAATTAAGATTACTTAATAGACCACATTGCATCCTCATCACCCAATCACCGAATTAAAAGGTATTTTTACCCACTATGCTAAAGAGGATGCCCATTCTAATAAAAATATAATAATTTTTACCTGTTATGATTCATGCTTTATATAAGTAGCTTCTCGTTAGGTAGCATTGGCAGTATTTTAAAATAAAAAGTTTTAAAAATAAAATAGCCATGGTAAGTTATGAATCTAATTTATCAAACATATCTTAGTGACTCCCTTCAACAATTACATAATTAACTAAACTTGCTTTGTATATATCCTACAATTAAGCATTTGGAAAATATTCAGTGACTCTGATGTGTGCTAAGGAAGTCAAACTCTTCTCTAGATTAGGAAGACATGATTTCATGATATTCCACATAAAGTTGACACATTAAGCCTTGTTAGTTCCTCACTTTCATAGCTAGAATTCATATCCATCAGCCTGGGAGCACTTTCCCAAAATGTAACACTTTATTTTAAATGACCATTACAAACACATTTCAACCAAACAACAGTTTAAATGTTCTTGACAGTCCGAAGAGTTGGGACCATGCTTTACCTGGAAAATATCTACTGACATGAATCAAGAGTCATTGAACACTTGTTGAAGCAGATGATTCCATACTTGAAGCACTGTCAATTTCCAGGGAGCAGAGGTCACATGATTGCCTCTTCATCCTCTTTAATCCAATGGTTCCTATTTATGAGATCCATTGGTCCAGAGTAGTCATATTCCATTGTGCATTTTTCTGATTAAAGAAATTAAGATATTTAACCATGGCTGAACTTCCTTCTTGTCTGAATAGGGTCCATCTTTTACAGTGGTCTCAAAACAACTATTTTCTATTAAATCTCGATGATTCTATGGCTGATATCAAAATAAGGAACCATAAACTCAATGTCCCTCTCAGTAGGTAGCTACAAAGTACATTGGGCATTCCCTGGGACCTACATCCTTTGCATCTCAGGCTTTGCATGGTGATTTCTCCCTGGGACTAGTTTATCCCACCATGAAACACCACTGTTCCTGGCAGTTAGAAGCAGTATCTTCCAGTGTAGGGAGGAGCTCTGTTTTTTTGCAGGTGTGAGGGGGGAAAAGTCACATGCGTAATAAGAGTTTGATAGTCTGTGTTGTAGCATTAGCCAAAACTGTATGGGAAGCAAAAGGACGTGGTGGGACAGACCTGGAAATTCTTGACATGAGATCTTACTGTGAAGTCTGACCCTGATTTATTGCCTATCAGCTGTAAAATTGGGGATAAGATAATGATCTTTTATGACCTTATTGCTGACATCTCTGAAATAGAAATAGAAACAGGATAGTTGCACATATGGAATCACAGTGGCTGTGAGAGCACACTGTCCAAGACCTACGCAAATCTCAAGCTAGATCAAATCCCACCATGGAGTGGGGAGGTGGCTAGGAACCCCTTCCCTAGCTGAGGAGTTATTGGCAACTGATGGCTGCTGGAAGAGGGAGAGTCGGCTGTCTTTAAGGGTATGGCCCTTGGTGGGTTGACCATGCTCCAGCAGATGGCCACATACCCAAGAGCATATGGGCACCACAAATTAACCTTAATCATTTAAAAAAGGGTGGATGGACACAAAGTTGAGTGGGTAGGTAAGGTGGGGATGAATCTGGGAGGGGTTGGGAGGGAGTAAATATGATCAAAATACATTGTATGACAGTCTCAAAGAATTAATAAAAATGGTTAACACCTATCAGGGGCTCCCCTACTATTCTCCCTCCTGAATTTTTATTAAAGGTAGTTTATTTTTTAAGCAAGTAACAATAGGGACTTAAAAGAAGCAGCTTTAAGTTTTAAAATATGTACAAAGATATTTAATGTCAACATATACACTGGATTGTGTGTGTATATATATGCTGTAATATATATGTAAATACATATGTATAGTAAAAATAAAATATATAATAAAGACTTGATATACTCTGTTACCTTTTAAATTATGCATATACTCATATATAGATTATTTTAAGTATTCTTATACTTTTAGGAAAACATTTTTCAATCATGGGTATTTTCTTTAATAAAAATCACTTTATTGTAATGAACTCCCAAATGAAAATAGCATGCAGCTAGATTAAGGCACCCACTCAAATACTTGGCTAGTCCCAACTCTGCATTTTTCATACTTCTTTTTCAATTAAAAATTGTTTTCCACATAACATATTTTGATCATGTTTTCCCCTCCCCCAACTCCTCCCAGATCCTCTCCACCTCCCTACCACTCAACTTTATATTCTCTCTCCTCACACTCTCTCTCCCTCCCCCCTCCCCACCCCTCCCCCTCTCTCCCTCCTTAAAAAAAAAAAAAAACAAGAAACAAAAAAGAAAATTAAAACAAATAAACAAAAGACCAATAAGACAAAAAAAAATAGCAACAAAATGGGGCGTGGGAGTCTGCAAAAAAACTACCAGTGAGTTCATTTTGGGCTGGCCAGCTACTCTCAGGCCTGCCCTGGACCACGGTTGATACACTCAGTGAGACTCCACTCGAGAAAATGGATTTTCCTTTTGCCAGCAGGCATCAATTGCATATAGCTTCTTGGTTGGTGGTGGGACCCCTTATCTGCTTCCCCTCTCAATGCTGGGACCCCTTCTAGCTTAAACCCGTGTGGGTTCTCTGCCTGCTGCCACAGTCTCTGTGAACCTCTCTTCATTCCCGTGAACTTCTGCACAGCAGGAGTGGCCATTCTGAAGCCATGGAGCTTTCCTTAGGGTTTTACATTTTCACTGACAATTACATTTTTATGAGCTTATCTGCCAAAAAGAAAGAAAAAAAAATGACAGAGTTGAAACTAGAAAAACATTTAGCTTCACACCCTCCTTCATGCCTCGGGTGTCTTTAGCCTGCATTGTGTCCTTCCTTGTAACCTAATGTTACCCTCTCCTGGTCCCTTTTCTAAATGTTATACTGGGCCCATTTTACACTTGTTTACTTAGATGTATAGAATGTATAATATTGTGAGGTCATCCAACCTCCAAGAGAATAAAACACCTGAATGTTCTCCCTGATGCTGATCCTAATCTATAATATAGACATTCCTAAGTACTAATCTGCAAATAAGTGATATTTGTCAGAGTTATGAGGACTGAGTATTTTTCTACTTACTAGGTTTTGATGCCACCCAGAACATTTTTCTTCATGAGTCCAAGAAAAGAACAAATCAGTCACATCACTTATGAGTATTACATAAAATAATATGCAAAGGAAGCTGCTTGGGAGTACTTTTCAAGGCTTCATTGAGAACCCCTCGGTAAATTTGTGACTTCCCAGGATCTTATTCACAGAGAGCACAAATCTAAAAATGTTTAAAGGTTTCGATTTCACTGAGTAGCTTTTGGACACTAAATTGAGAATAGTTGTGCTAATTTGTGAGCATGAAAGTATGGGATACTATTTTGAAAAGTTTTCATATACAAAAAACTGCTATCATCATGCCAACATAATGAGACTTGGGCCATGATACATCTAAGCTGCCATGTACAAATCCTGAGCACAGAACAGAACACAGGCAGCATGTGTATCTGTTTTCATTCTGAAATATAGCTATGGACATACTTAATTCTGCAACAGTATAGAAATTTGTGGCCCCAAAGAGAACACACTTGCAGAAATTATACTTGAAATGGCCTTTCATTATATTGTTTAAAAGGGGGGATTAATACAGAGTTGATTTATAAAACAAGTGTATATCTTATTAAAATTACATACAACACAAAAGTTATCACATAACTCGGTTACAATCAAAATTCTGATATGTAAAATGTTGTCTACCAAAGTAGATTTCTCTCTCTCTCTCTCTCTCTC